AACATTATTTTGACCATAAAAACATCACTGTAATTTACACAAGTGCAAGCACTATTTATAGAGCATATGTGAACAGGCTCGGTATTGCATGTAATGATAATTACAGTCCCAGAAATCTATATCTACTAGAGAAAAATGTATTTGACATTAAATTCAGAAGCAAGACCTCGTAAAACAAATCATGTTGTGCTACAGAGAGAATATTAAACCACTCGCAGTAAAGAAAGAAATTAAAGACACTTAATAGCCATTTTAAATTTTCTGAGCATGGTACCATAAAAACGGTACAATTATTTTGTTAAGGAATACTGTACTTTCGATATTAAAGGTCACACATCCTGGTTTTATCAAAGGTGGTGTGTCCTGTAGCATGTCAACGACTTTTTCCAACCTCAGAAAGTACCAGGATGTACAAACTTTAGGGGTCATGCACAGGTCACATTGTATTTAACTTGCATGTATATCAATCACAGTGTACACAGCAATTTGATTGGCTGAAACCTTAAATTTGCAACAGCCATTTCATTTGTTACCTTACATACATCGCGACACTCACACTTGTGTTTTAAATGCTGTAAACATCACATGATCACAATTTAATAAGTATGTAACATATTAAAGACTTAAACTCATCAGAGTCACTGTGCAGCAGTCTGAATTTTGTGAAAACACGCAATCTATGATAGCAAAGTCGCAATTGTCAATTTGAAAGCATTCCCTACATGCATCATGTACATTCGTCAAAAAATAATTTTTTTAAATATACACAGTACAGTTTTAGGTAATTAAAAGTTGATGTTCACAGAAAATAACATGTTCGAATTTTAATTTGCACACGCATCGCATATATAATGGCAGTAACGCAAGGAGAACTGGAAGACATCTTTCCATTACAGTAGAATAGTTATTCGCTGGGTTTAATTTTAATATTGTGGAATACTTTATTTTCGCTGGAATTAATTTTCGCTGAAAAGGCTTTTCGGCGTTTTGTATGGAATTTATTTTCACTGATTTTTGATGAGTTTAATGTGAAATATAGGAAAAAAAGTATATTCGCTGAATTTTATTTTCACGGAATCATCTTTTCAGCGAAAATAGCGAAAATAAATTCCAAGCGAAAATAAAGTATTCTACAGTAGATTTGATGTTGCAGTGCAGTGATATTCACTAGGTTTTAAATTCATTGGTTAGTAAAGAAAATATTATATTCTATGGCTCACTTTGCATATTCACTGTGCTAGCACATTTAGTTATCAGCAGAAATAAAACCCAACAAATTAACCCAGAGAGTGCCAAATAGTATTTTCATCACCCATCAGAAGTTTTTTTTCAAAATGTGAAGGCAATAAAATTGTTAAAAACATTTAATGGCACTGATAGGGTACAATATTTATATTACTGTAGAATACTTTATTTTCGCTTGGAATTTATTTTCGCTGAAAGGATGATTCCGTGAAAATAAAATCCAGCGAATATACTTTTTTCCCTATATTTCACATTCAACTCGTCAAAATTAGTGAAAATAAATTCCATACAAAACGCCCGAAATGCCTTTTCAGCGAAAATTAATTCCAGCTAAAATAAAGTATTTCACAGTATTTAAGATTTATTTTATAAGATGTCCTGTAATTATGTAATATGGTTTTATTTTTTTTTATTAGAGTCGAGGGACATTAAAATTGCATGCAAACAACACATTTTCCAGATTCCTATATGACACATGGCACCCTTATTTAACGCTATGTAGAGTGAAACTTCAACTATATTTGTTTTTAATTCAAATTTTGTGCAAGAGCTATACTTTTGATACAATGTACACATATATTCATAAAATGTTACCGTAATTTATAAACAAATATTTATGGCAATAATCAAAGTCAAATAATATCTGAAATCATATCAACAGTAGATAAATGGTAAAAACCAGTCAGATGAAGACCCATTGATAACCTGTTTGATAAAGAAGTTTAGCACACATGTTAGTAAACTATAAGCATGGAGGTATAAATAGAAGGAGTTACAACTGGTTTAAGATCAAAGGTTCCATGATCATTTCCGTCGTTTACTAAGTGATTGTAACGTTTGCTTGTTAATCTAGCAGCAAACAATAAGTTATCGAATTAACATACTGTAAGACGAGGAATTTTCACGCAATAAAATTTTCGTGTGAAAGAAAATTGCGTTACCTCCATGCTATAAGTAATCAATAGTTCACCCATGTTATCAGTACACTAAGGGACGACGTCAAAAGATCAATGACGGATAAAAAAACTTAATTCCTTTAGTTTTTTTCCAAACCCCCCACCCCCCACTGAAACTTAATTGATAAATATTGGTCATGGCGTCAGACTACATTCACCATTAAATACAAATTGATAATCGGACA